AACAATAGACCTGGTTCTTAGTAAGAATGTATATGTGCTTTAAATAATCTTTTGCAAGGAAGCAGGCAATTTCCATACCAACACAGTTCTTTCCATCCGTAGTTAATTCGAAGCCGGCATTGCAAATGCACTGGAAACTCCCATCTGTGTTCACGCAGCGACCATTTTTACAAAGAACCCCGTTCTGGATGCACTCATCAATATCTGAAAGATGAACAGTGGCCAGGCATATTGCTTTTTCAACACTTTATAGACGGAAATTGTAAAATGATATCATTTTAAACATCCAGGTTGTTTTTACATAGAAACGACATTTTCCATATCAAATGGTATTTTCAATGTCCAGATTGTTTTAGCATACAATATAAATGTTTTACACATTACAGTAGGTTAGCAAAATTTCCATTTCTCACTGGCTTTTTCCACAGTAGGTGGACATAAGCAATTCTACAGGCCTGACTTAGAGTAGCTGAAGAGGGTAAGAAACTGGAAGATGAGATGGGTGTGCAGAAAGAGTCTGAGCGGGGTCATGCCTTGGGAAGGAGTGGCGTGGCTGCTTTTGGCCTGGGAACCCAATGCCTTGAAAGTCAAAGCGAAGGGTCCAGTGAGAGGACAGTCACTCCAGAAACTCCGGATTAGGAGTACTACGAGGGGAAGGTGGACTTGAGCAGTGACCTATGGATGCACAGGAAATGAAAAAGACGCCATCTGCTAAAAGGATTCCGAGATGAATCAGCTGTGACAGTGGAGTCTGAACAACAGTGGTGGGCATAGCGCTGAGACCGTGAACAAAGACGGTGCATGTTTGCTGGTGGACCTACGAGAGGGGCGCAAAGCAAACAGTTGTTAAAAAGGACAATAAATCTGGAGCCGTGGTCATGAGTGAAAGGGAAGACTACTGATGTTACGTGGCAACAGGAAGCCGTGGTCCAGGGAAGGGAGACAAACTGCATTTCAATGACGCCAGACACCGAGAAGCCAGTGCAAACAGTGTGGGTGTGTCAAGGAGGCACCTCTGAGGGCCTTGAGACTCCGGGGGTAGCATACAATAAATCTGTAATCGTGTGACAGCACTTACTTCATTCCATGTCTTCCTTTAATACATGTACTTGTAACCTCAACAGCCTTGGTCACTACAGTTCACAGAATATTTTCATATGTGAGAGCGAACTGCCTTACCAATGCATGCTTGCTTGGTAGGAGTCCTCTGGAATCCAGCATGACATTTGCAGTAATAGGATCCAGGTGTGTTAACACAATCTCCATTAGTGCAGGGATTTGATGTGCATTCATCAACATCTGTGAGCAGCAAAAGAAACCATTACAGACTTCACTCCATTTGTAGAGATGTTTGTTTAAAGTACGTTTAGCTTTCCCAAATTTGAGAGAAAGCCAGTTAGATGGGTAACACTCTAAATACCGGAGTATTTATAAATGAATGAAAATTCCTTGCTTCAAATGTACGCAGAGGCTAGTCTGGGGGCTTACGAGAGTATTGCCTATTGGAGTTTATAAGGGGGTTTGCTTTAATCAAGGAATAATGATTTTTCAGTTGGAAAACTACAGTGATTAAAGGCATGGGCTTGGAGAGAGCGAGCAAGGGGTTCTAAACACGCAGCATCTAAAAATCCTTATTATTTATAGGACTCTTGATTGAAGAGCCATTCTGAGGCTCAGGGTAGTGTTCAAACAATGAAAATATTTTGATGATATATTTATAACCCTGGCAGTGACTGCTATTAGTTTTAAAGGAAAATCTTGAGAAATTATCAATTCCCTGGTTGTTGATTGTAAATTGTTTGTGAGCTCAGGTATATGTGTACCTTTTGGGGTATTTTATAGTATATTCAGAAGCAAGCATTGGAAAATGGAAACGAAAGAAAACAATAGCCTGGTATCTTTCATAGTTTCCTGTATCTTGGAGCCTTTAATCTCTGTAGTCTTTGCTTTTAGTTCAAATCTTAAAAGTAAGAAATGCCACCCCCGGCTTTGAATTCATGTCCTCTTAAGGCTTGATTCAGCTCAAACCATACTGTAGAATTCAGCGTCTGCAACACCAAGCTGTGGCTGACAGATGAAAAAGTTTGGACGAGTCCCATGCTGGGGAAATCACAAGTGCCATTCAGCATTAGAAGTTTAATTCATCTTTTCTCTGTAATGCTCTCTAAATGTTATTTTGAATGCTGGCAAATTAATACCTGGTAGGCCTGGGAGGACATACCAATTTGCCATTACAGGTATAGGCGGGGGGAGTGAGGGGAGGTTTCCAAAAGTTTGTAGGAAAATCCCCTTATCTTTTAATTCCCCCTTTCCATTAACTTTTTGAAGCCCCCTTGTGCATGTCGAAACCATTAACATATCCTGTGTCAGCTAAATTTGAGAGTACAACAATGAAGTCAATTCACAGGTTTACCATTTAAATAAACAGACTGCTCCTTTCACAGATGTTCTTAAAAGAAAAACTGTACTCTATCAAACTCACCAGCCTCATTTAAATAAACACTCACACTGAATGCAATTAAAGCTCTCTGGGAAAGGGTGGAGGGTGGGGGAGTGGGGTGGGGGCTAGAGCCTGAGTGACCCAACTCACAGTGGACAAAATAAAAACAATGAAGAATAACAGGATTAAACACATTTCCAACGCATTCAAAACATCCCTTCTGCCCCTTCAAAGTCATTTACATGTTAACCTTTGGTTAAGAATATGCAGTCTCCCGAGCTAAAAAAGGACACAAAATGAGGAGAAAAGTTCGAGCACGAGTTAACTATAATGGAGAGACTTTCCAATATAAAATGCCACCTTCAGTTGGCAAGCGTTGAAGATACTCTAAACTGTGTGCATATTTCTGAAATGCACCAATTGAACACGTGCTGACGATCCATCTTTACGGACGTAGGCCTCACTGTAAAAGCTCTGCTCTACTGCAGAGTAAGAGTCCATGCACCTACCAACCTCTGAAGGTAAACTGTTCCCAAGACCCCTTGTTGCTTTGACACCTCTGCCACCTGTGTCCTGGGCAACCCTAATTCATTTGTGCCTCCTATTAGTGACCCTACCACAGCGATTAGCACTGTCCCTGTGGGTTTCAGCGACTATAAATCTTTATGGGAGCAGAATCCTCATCCTTCTCATGTGAAGTGGCTGGTGATTTCAATCTGCTGCCTTTGTGGTTAGCTGTCTCTAACGTGCAACCCACTAGGCCACCAGGTTGCTTTGGTGTTAAGAACTCGATGGCAGTGAGTTTGGCTTTGGGCTTGTAAGTGACTTTATAATGCCTACTATTTGAGACTTTCATTTAGTGGTTTTGGGTTTGCTTTGCTTTCCAGGGTTATTTTAAGAATGAAATTAATCACAAATGACCACCACCGTGCTTTGGAATGTGTATCCCATGCCTCTCTAATCTGAAGCCTCCAAGCCGAGTATCTCCAAGTAATCACATCGTTTGCCTTGTTTAGAGGAGCAAGAATATTTAAAAACCTACAGTCCGCACTTCAAGGTCTCCTGGGAACTGAGCATTTTTAAGTGAAGTTCATGAGATTTTTCAATCTTTGATATCAATGAAAGAATCACCAAAAATGTTGATGTCAAAATGGTTAGATTCTCGGAAAGTGCTTAAACCTTGAAGAATGGTTCACATTTTTATTTAGAGTATCTATATCTATAGTTGAATTTGTGAGAGCTCTGGAATTACTTGTGAACCAACTGCAAAGGCTAATTGTTTCCTACAACTGAAGGGAGAGGAGCTTGAGTGAGTTAAAACCATTGCTATGGCAGTTTAATTTACATAGATGCCAGGGGAGTCATACAATTTCAAGCTAGAGTAGAATTCTCAGGACAAGGAGAGGAAAATGGGATGAGCAAAGGTAACTGCTTCCAGGCATCAAGAGAAACTCACCTGATAGCAAAATGGGGCCATTTCTACTTTCCTGGTCTTGATCTTTGAATACATTTATTGCATTGTGAGTTGTACTGCTTTAACAGGTAGAAGGTACAGATATGATTGGCAATTTGTTATTCCTCAAAACACTAATATACTTAAAACAGCTACCACTCTTATCTTAGCCTGGACACTAGGTAGTTAACTTGAATCATTTTAGCTTCTCCTGGTACCCAAACTCATTTGTCACCACTAAAGGACTGAAAACAGAAAGAGCACAGCCTCCAAAGCTGTACTGAAAATGCGCCCCGATAGTGACGCTGTCTCCCATAATTCCGACAGTTGGAAACACAATAAAAAATCTTTGAAGTTGTAACTATGCAAGGTCAATGATAAGCTCCACTAGAATGCAATGATGCTATTACAAAGTCTGGGTAAACTGCAGATGCTTGAGTTGTGTATGATTTACATTAACATGCTAACAAGGTAGAAAATGCAAACCCGCATGATATTAGTTTACAAACGTGTGGCCAGAGTCCATCTCCACTAGGTTCTGTGAAAAAAATTTGCCCCCAATCTATTAAGAAGCCCTCAACACACCCAAAAGAGATTCATCAACTCTTGTCTCCCAACCTGCTTTTTTGCTAATTTCATCAATCAGTTAGTGCCACTACCATATGTGCAGTTTTGTTCAGCCAAAACTTTGCATGTTGTTATAATTTCCTACTCTACAACACCCAACATACAAAGTTTACTGATACAGTTTCAGATTCCTCATTGCAACTAAACTCTGAGAATCTTCCACTGATAAGTTTTAGTAGAGTAGCCCCTTCCACCAGAAAACCCCCCAGAATTAAATAATCAATTAAAATATTAATCTAAAAAGGAAATTAAGATAGTTCTCTTCCCTTTACTAGCTACATATGTTTAAGGATGGATTTTCATTGCCTTTTTTAAACAGCCAGCACATTACAAGAGATTAAAAAGAAAAGCTGATATTATACACCAGCTGTTTTATATTAAATAGATTTTTAAGTTCAAAAATAGAATGACATACTTTTCAATATATTTGTTTTAAAAAAGATTTTCATAAAAATATTATGCTAACATGATCAGGGTTTAAAATGAATAAATATTTTTAAGTTTTCATCTTTGCTTTCTTATATGGTGATTATTAATAAATGCCACCCTCAATCATTTTCAAGAGTGAAAGGAGCCTTGAGATGAAAATATTTGAGAACTGCGGCTCTGAAGTGCTTAGATTTTAGCAGCCTATCTCTGGTCTTGCCATCTAAAGATAGATTAATGTTCTGTAAAGCCATTTTCACAATATATTAACTGATACAGTGTGATAGTTAAATGTGTCAGCTAGGCTATGAAGCTCAGTTATTTGGTGGAAAACTAGTCCAGATATTGTTATGAAAGTGTTCACCTGTGCTTGACATCTGAATCAGTTGATTTAAGTAAACAGACAACTTTCCATAACTTAAGTGGGCCTTAACCAATTAGTTTTCCATGGGAAAAGGATCCCGCCCCACGACGTAACCCCGAATCTTTCCAGAGTTTTCAGCCTGTCTCCTGACCTGTGAATTCTAATTTGTTTCTGCCACAATTGTGTGAGTTAATTATTTAAAATTAATCTCAATCTCTCTGTCTACACTTTGAAACTGTTTGTTTCTCTGGAGAACTCTGACCCCAAAACCCTGACAATTCTGGCAAAGAAAGGAGGGAGGAAGTAAAGAAAAACAAAGAGAGAGGAACAATGACAAGATTCGGGATGTAAATGAGTGGGGAATTCCTGAGGTCCCTGAACTTAGAAGCAAGTTCAAGGAATCACAGGGAAGAGTATGCACATGGAAAGGGAGCTGGGCCATTTACATCACTGCAAAAGAATTTTTTCTTCTCTTAATATCTGCTCCAATTGTTTCCACAGTCTAAGAGCTATTAAAAGTTGATAAGGGTCACAGAACCAAGAACCTACCTGTACAGTCGCCATTTGCATCCTGCTTATAACCCATGTTGCACTCGCATCGGTAGCTAGAAATAGTAGGGATGCAGCGTCCATGTAAACACAGATTAGCATGGTGCTTACAGATGTCTATGGTCTGGTTCAGGATTGCTAAGGAAAACGAAAACAGAAGTAAAGAAAAGTTAATCATTAGTATATACCTTACTTTTCTTTGAGTTGATTTTGATAAGGGTATTTAATAATAAGTTACTTAAGGGTTTATCAAAGTCAACCATTTTCTATCTTTTACTAAACCCTAATGGAGAAGAACTAAACATATTCCTGGGCACATGGTTCTAACTTGTATTCCTTTGTGAGGTTACATATATAGAAATATTGCCCATAACGATGTCTTTTAAAACATTAGGGCTGTTCTACTGTAGATTCAGATGCTTTCTGATTCCCTTCTGTGACTCAGCTGCATATGCAGATATCGTAAACAGGCAATATGCCAAAAGGAATAAACAGAGCACTGTGGGACATCATTAAATATTATTAGCAAGAGGAGTTCTTTATAAAAATATGAACTTAAATGTTAAGTACACCAATGCCAATTCTGGCCAGAAGTTCTCAATTTCTTAAGTTACTTAACTAAAAAGGGTGAAGAAGCGAAAGCTATTTGCATGATAATATTTGGATAGGCACAGAGCAGGACAAATTCAGTTTATCTCAGCTGAGCAATAGTTCTGGAAAAGAATTCAAGTGGTGCATGGTCAGGGCAGCTGAAAGAAACACCATGATCCTCCTGCGCCCCCTCCCCCGCAATAAAAACCCAGTCCCCTCATAAGAACCCTTCTTGGTGGTGTCATCTGGACTGGAGCATGACTGAGCTCTCATTTGTGTTTTTCAAAGAGAGTCTGGGTCACACATTCATTGTTCCACTGTAGCAGAAATTTATGCAACAGAAAAACAAAATGATCTTAAGAATTCTGCCTTGCAACATGATACATTTGACCTCTGAGCAGGTGTTTACATACATTAACTAATTAAAAAAAAAACACTTAAAAAGATTTTAGATCATACAAAAACACTTGAGGCAGAATACTAAAGGACAGACACATCCGCAACCGTGGGCACTCACTTAGTCCGGTGATGATGGGTCCCTGTCCTCCGGCTCCAACACCAGCTCCCCCAACGCCAGGAGAAAAGCCATTGCCTCCTGGGATAGGAATGAAGCCTGCCCCGCCCGGGCCATAGCCATTCCCTCCAGGTCTGGAACCAGCACCCCCAGGAATCCCACCGATTGGAAGCCCATCCATGCAGAGTCTGCGGTATTCCTCTGGAAGAAAGAAACTTCACTTGGCTACCATTCCATACGGTCAATACATTGTATTGTAATCGATGGTTTTAGTTTACATTAGTCTGCAGACCACAAGGTCAGCAGTTCAAAACCACCAGCCATTCCACAAGAGAAAGATGATGCTTCCTACTCCCAGTAAGAGATACAGATCTGGAGACTCAGAGATAATTCTACCCTGTCTTACACGGTTGCTATGAGTCAGAAGTGACTTGATGGCGGTGAGCTTGTTTTCTGGTTTTTTTTTTTGTTTCTAGTACATGAGATTAAGTAGATTATCTTGATAAAAGGTTTCCTACTCTGGCAGTAGCAGGAAAGGGTATAGCTACTTCAGAAATACATTAAAACCTACTTGCCATGTGAGCTTTTTAAAGTTGTGTGCCTTAATAATGGTCTACGTGCACATTTTCATTTTAAACTCCTAAGTAGTGTTTATAAAATTCCAGACACAAAATTGTAAATAACGGCAGACATGTAACAATGTTGAAAGAGAAGTGGCAATACTAGACAACTGTCTAAAATTTCTTAACCATTCTCAGAATTAGAGGACTGTATCAGCAGAAAAAAAAATCATTCAAGAAACTGTTTCAGTATTAACATTACTACAATATATTATTGATAGAGCAAAAAAAATAATAGAAAATGGGATTAAAAGGTAAATGACTTTTCCTATGAATTTCTCATAAAGCCTCTTTTTATAAGGTTCCAAAATTATTTCCTGTGAATTAACACTGCTTCTCTTTTGTTTAACTATATAATTTTGCTATTTTATGGCTTAGAGATGTGTACACTTTTTAAAAATCCGTAACAGTACATATAGGCATTTATCATTATAAGCATACTTCTGAAATTTCATTGTTTTTCTTGTTTATAATTTAAAGTAAAAAAGGCAACCACTCATTGCTGTTGTCTCAATTCTAGTAACAATTCTCATAGTACAATTCTCTAGTACAATTCTCATAGTACAATTCTCATAGTAACGCTATTGCAACACAGAGAAACTGCCCCATTGGGGTAACTTCCAAATCTTAACCTCTTTTGTAGGGACAAGTTACTCGACCATACCCCTCACCCCTTCATTCCCCAGCAATTAAACACTTTTGTACAGCAGCCCACAATCTCTGAGAAGGTGTCTGTAGGGACCTGTTCTGGCAGCCCCTGGGATAGCTCCATCTCCCATCCCCAGGGGTGGTATCACACAGGGCCTCCTCATTTCCAAGGTAAGGCTGTAAGTCTTTGTACAAGTACACAGCTGTAGCTTTCTCCTGGAGAAGCTGGTAGATTTTCCCACTCACCTTTTGGTTTGCAGCAGACTACTTAACCACTGTGTCACCAGTGCTCTTGTGAAAGAGACAATGTTAAGCAATACAGAGACCTTTACATGACAACCATTCCTTGCACTTTAATGTATACAATATATATATGAAGAGGCGCTACTTCACGTTCTCTCTAAAGTAATGGACACACAGCCTTAGTTATGTGGCAGTAAATGTGGCCTCTCGGCAGTTATGTGGCCTCTCGGTCTTTTATTCTTAGTTTTCAAGGATAAGATAAGAACTATCTTCAAGGATTGGGTCATTATGCACTGAAAGGATATTAATAAATATGAAATAAAATATGAGGCGGCTTGAAAACGTTCTTCCATTATCGCTTAATTCCACTCCCCACACACTTTCTGCAGCCCTCTTGTATGAATGAAGATTATTTATACACGTGTTATAAATTTTATAAACAAAGATCCTCAATTTCCGAGATGAAAGAATTTAAAACTGAATTCGAGTTCTAACATTCAAAAAAAGTTTTTAATAAATGGGTACAAACAAGTCTCACTCCACTTCAGGAATTTTTTTTTTTTGCCCACTGATGTTAATAAGCTAGGCATTTTCAAAACTGATCCCCAAATACACAATACCTCTGTATCTTCTCTAAATCCAACATCAAATCATATAGAAAACACTAATGAGGATAAAAGATGACCTAGTTTGAAGAACTAAAGCCAAGTACATATTGCTAATAACTTCCCTCGCAGTGCTTATCCTGAGCGGTGGGGTCAGACAGATGCTCACCAGAGCCTCTGACAGGGCAGGCCTCGGGAATGGATCCGATGCCCCAGCAGCGGCCAGGCTCACAGCAGCATTGCATCTTCGTCATTCTGCCTGGGAGCTCCTGTGCGCAGCGACCGTTTACCAGGCCTGAGAAACATGTGCCTGTTCTCTGATCTGAACATAGAAAAACAAAACAGAAGCCATGGCAAAGTTACACCAATCCTTCTAAATAAGAATATGAAAAAGAGGTCATGATGAACTTAATTACTTTACATAATATACGTTATACTTTTAATTCCTTTATTCTTTTAAATTCTATTATCTATACTCATACCATGATTCATTCATTCAACACGTATTCACTAGATACCTATTCCATGCTGTATGATTCCAAATCACGACAGGCAGCTTTATAACCCCATGTACGTCAGAGTACGATTGCGTCCCCTCGGGATCTCAATAGGTGATTTTTAGAAGTAGATTGCTAGGCATTTCTTCTGAGTCATCCCCAGGTGGACTCTGAACTGCCTGTGTATTAGTTATCAACCAACTAGGTTAACTGCTGGACCACTAAAGGGACACAGAAATTAATGATGTGGAGGAAGGAGGCACTTGTCCAACTTACAGCAAGGAGCCAAATCTACAGACGTGGCACTGAAAGAATGCAGCCACTCAATCCCACCCTAGATATGTGAATTTGCCACCGTATGCAACTGAGAAATGGTGGTTGCTTGTTATGCAGCTACATCTGAGACTGCTACAGGCACACTTTTAGTAAGGTTGATAAGAGGAGGCTCTGTTGAGGCAGCGACAGCTGTCTGAACAAAGTGAGAGAGCATTCTAAAAAGACAGAGGGGGATGAACTTGATGTGTGTGGAGAACAAAGGGCTACTGTGACCAGAGAAGAACATGCAAACGAAAAGGTATAAGAATATGAGAGAGGGAGAGAGAGAGAGAGAGAGAGAGAGAGAGAGAGAGAGAGAGAGAGAGAGAACGATGATGTATAGTCATGTAGGACCTTAAGGAAGGGCTTCAGATTTTACTTTGAGTGCTATGAGAATCATCGAGGGGCTGCAAGCAGAGGAAAGGGGTTACAGTTTTAAAAGATGTCTTTGGTTGCAGTGAGAAGACGTAGCCTGAGCAGAAGACCGGTGAAGAGGTTACTGAAGAGGTCCTGGAAGGAGATGACAGTGAAGATAATGAAACACAGTTAGCTAGGAGATTCATTTATAAGGTTGAGCCAATGGGAACTTGCTTGGGACTATTCTTCTAATTAGCACCAATGGATACCTGAAAATAATGATGTAGTATTTTCTGTATACTGATATAAAAGAGCTGTCAACTGAAATCATTTACAGAAAGGCAAAAATGGAGAGTTTTGTACCATAAGGGTCTTGCTAAAAGAAAATGTAAAAGAGGGTGCCTCAGGCAGAGAAAGGCAATTCTAAATGGAAGATTTGAGATGAATGAAGGAATGATGATCAAAATATTAATAAACGTGGTTAAATCTAACCAAGCATCAACACAGCAAAAACTAATTTGTTGCAGGCAGAAAATGGAAATATGGTAGGAATTTGGAGGGCATGAAAGGTAAGCCGTTCTTATAATCTTTTACTGTTTGGACCTAGGTAAAAATATAGCTTAATTTTACATTTAATGCTAGATATAAATCTTAAAGTGTCTTGGAGAACCCCTAAAACAGGATGTAAATAGTATGTCCGGTAACTAGTAAACAGAGAAGAAGGTTGGGCATAGTGAAATGAAATGCATTAAATCCAAAAGAAAGGGGGGAAAGGTAACAAAAAAGATGAGACAAATAGGAAAACGGAGCTAGTAAAAATGACAGCAAATATGTAAGTGACAAAATCTACTATCTGCATTGTTAAAGAGTCAATTCTGACTCAGAGAAAACCTACAGGAAGGGGCCAACGCCCCTTTGGGTTCCAAGACTTTTACTCCTTTGGGAATAGAGAGCCTCAGTAACTATAATAAATGTAAATGGCTTTAAGTCTCTATTCAAATGATAATGGTTTGCAGGGTACCAAAACAAAGTCAGAAATTAAAATTTAGATTGTTTAGATGAGGCACATTTAAAACATAAAAGGAAGCAGACAGGTGAATATACAGCAGGCAAATTGTATTTAAACTTCCACTGCAACTTACAACGACAAAAATATCATGAGATTAGAACAAGATAAAATACTTAGAAAAAACTAAGAGGAAAAGAAGACAAACAGAGCGCTTTCCTGGTATAAGACCCTATTTGCCATGGAAATATAACACTGTAATACTTTTAAACAGTATCACTTTTTAACAATCCCACATACAGCTGATAGAACAAATGGAGAAACTGGGACAGCACCATCAGCGTGGGTAGGATGCAATTCTTAACTCAGTAGGCAGAGAGAACGGTTTAACACTATATGCAACAAGTGTGATCTAATGAATACATCTAGGATAGTAATCCAACAATCAGAGCAACCATGTTTTTCAAGCGCATAAGGAAAATCTACAAAAACTGATCACATTTATTAGGCCCATATAGCAAATATAAACACAGTTCAAAGGATTAGTACCATCTAACTATATTCTCTGACCTTCATGTACATAATTAAGCTAGAAATCATAACAAAATGAGAAGCACTCTATAATTCCCATGACTCGCTATGGGTCATAGCATCACATTGAAAATAAGTAAAATGCCCAACAATATGGATAACAACCTAACATGTGACCCTGAGAAACCTGTGCTACACCATCTCTGGACTGTCACTGTCTGTGATGATATTGCAAGGGGTCCACAGACTCACGTTTACATTGGGCATGCACGGCAATGTGAGTATATAATGCCTCCCAACGTGTCTGCACTACAGATTTCCACATACAGTGATTCTAGAGCTAATGCCGTGACCCTTTAATACAGTTCCTCATGTTGTGGTGACACCCCCAACCATAAAATTATTTTCGTTACTACTTTATAAATGCAATTTTGATACTGTTATGAGTCGGGTGACCCCTGTGAAAGGGTCATTGGACCCCCAAAGGGGTCATGACCCAAAGGTTGAGAACCACTGTTCTAGAGTGATCAAACAGAAGTCCATTTATAATTAAGAAATATCCCAGTAGCTTCATTTTATGTATTTTCTACATCAAAGATATGAAATTATAATCAGATGAAAATGTAAAGAAATTTCATATTGAGAATGGTCTTCAAATTTAATAATATTAAAAACCACTGACCCATATAGCTTGGGAAATCTCTGGACAGTTCTAAAAATACATATTTCTACAAACCCAGCCTTCTTTGAGAAGGTGGAGAGAAAGAATATTATAAATTCTAGTAACATGTAAAATAAAATCCACTTTGTCTTTTCTAATATCAACAGGAAGGCAGGCAATTTACTTCCAATTCTTTGAGCCAAAAACATATCAAGATGAAAAATCTACTCAATTCACACTACCAAAAAGAGTATCTTTCAAAGTAATCTAGAAGCAGAAGCTTCTAGAATCTCTCCGGAAAGTGTATGGCCCTTAAAAGAAAGCAGTGTGTTAAAAGTGTGCCACATGGAAGAATCTCGGAGGAAGAGAGGCATCTACAGCACTAACTTAAGGGTTCCCGGCACACCAACCAGGACCCAGGGAATGAACGCACTGGGGCTGAAGGGAGATGAAGCACATTCACTTTACCTGAGGACAAATTCTTCTGCTTGGGGTATATTTAAAACTGTAAGGGTGCCATGTCACAAGTAATGAAAACAAGTCTATTCTTCCATCTCTTATCACCCTCACTGCTTTCTCTGAAAAAGCTTTCTCTGAAGTTTTATTTACAGCCACACTGAAGAAGAGGAACTCATTCATCTCCTTTGGTTAAAATACAAATCCAGCTTAAACCAAAATAATGGCACTTTTAGCAGAATTTGTTTTATGAGTTGACATTTAGTCTAAACTTGATTTACGAGAACTAACAGTTAATTATACGATGTGATGAAAACTTGGCAAAAATTGGGGGCTGAATCTTGGAGAAAAAAATAGGCCTCCTGCTGACTACAATTTACTCATTAACAATGGAGGGTTCAGCCAAAATCCACCAATGAGGCTCTCCCAGGTCAGAATATCAGTGATAGTGGGTGCGTGATAAATAGCAACCATTGTCTCAGTCTTCCTCCTTTGCTTCTCCGGTACCAACACCTGCCTCTGATGGTCTGGCTCCAGCTGGCGTGTCGCCTTGATCAATCAGTTCTACAGAACCTTGTTAAATCTACAATGCTATCATGTTTACATTATTGCTAGAAATTACTAGGGTTTGCCTCTTCCCTTTAAAGTAATCATGTGCTTTCTTCCACATGGTTTAATCTTCTAGGTAACCTGCATTCAACCCGGCATGCCTTGCCTCCCACTCATGGTTTAGGCGATTTTCCAAGCAAACACTCTTTCACAAAACCATTTTCTCTTTCTCTGTACACCTTTTCAGTTGAACATTTTTATGAGTTTGGTATCCACCCTATACTGGTTTCAGTTGAGAAAGCACACAGGCCCATGTAAGCAACACTCAGCATGACCAAGAAGTGCTGCATAACATGTAAACTATGTTGTACTCTGAATGACTGTGTTTCACATAGCAACACATGCTGACCATCACTTCATGTCACTGTATAAGTTACCTATTTCTCGTAAACACAGCCACACCCCCACTGTTTTCCTAGTGATAAATTTTGTCTCTGGGCTGTTTTAAAAAGATTCTAGTGGCCTATCACTGCTTGCAGCATCAACCTGAAATTCCTCAGGACGACAGTTAAAATCCGCCTGCGCAAAAGCACACGTGTCTTCTTGTCTACCGTGCTTGTCAAGTCTAGGCTGCGTTCATTTATGCCCACTGGTCATGCTGCCGTGCCTGTGTTACAATATGGGAAGTAATGGTGTTAATAATGCTGTGGATATTGTAATGACAATAAATGCCAAAACGTATTTACAGGGCATTGTTTTATTGCTGTAGGATGTCATCAAGAACATTTTAACTCACGGGGACTCCAATGGACAGAGCAGAGCTGCCCTAATCGAATTTCTCTGGCAATAATCTATATTCAAGCACATCAGGTCTCTCTCCCTTGAGCTGCTGGGTGGGTTTGAACTGTCGGCCATTGTGCTTAGCAGTCAAGTGCTCAACCCTGCCAACA